ATAAAACAAAATCAGTGTCATTCTTTTACATCAATTTTTAAATTGTTTTAGATTAGCATACAAAATAATGGGTGTCTCATTAATATTTTCACATATATATATCCTTATACTTCTTACATATTCTATTTCCTGCCACCTCTCCAAACTTTTTCTCCCTCTTCTCTGGTCCTCTTGTTCCTCCAAGATGAGTCCTTTCCTGTGTGTGTGTGTGTGTGTGTGTGTGCGCGCGCGCGTGCGCACCTGTATGTGTCTGTATGTGTTAATTCTGTGTATGAGAGATTCTCCATATGAGAGAAAGTGTGCATATTTTTGTTTTCTTCCCAATACTGTGTTGATCCCCCCGTTCCCCTTCATTCCGGTTCTTCCCCTTCCCTCACAGTCCCTTCTAATTTCATGTCTAGAATGCATACATTTATAAACAAAGTGAAACTTGTAAGCTTCCACATTTGTGATTCTGCCAAACCAAACTAGGGTTTTTTTAAATGATAGATACCCTAAAGGATGACCCATAAGATAAATACAATGATGTATACATAGATTTTTAAAAATGCTTTGACAAGAGCAACTGAATAGGACCAAATTATTGCTCAGCAAGTATACACTTTAGTTTTGAAGTGTTTCACTTCGTTAATTTCCCTTTTATATGTTCAGATTTCCGGGAAATTTTTTTTTTGTAAAACAGGCAAGGGTTTTACCCTGAATCTATGCAGCAACCTAATCCCATGCACAATATACATTTTTCAAGACAAAACTCATACTCACTAACTCGGGAGCGTCTCTGTAAGTCACTACAGGGCAGAAGTGCTCAAGATGCATTGTGTTTTTCTCCAGGATGTTATTTCTCACACTATTATTTAATTCAGTGCTATTTTATAACTACTATATAATGTCTTTGATTTTTACAGGCCATTTATAGTTATCATTATAATCATAATTATTATATTTGTAGATAAAAGCAGAAAACAAAAACACAGGAGTTGGCAGATTAGGTCAGGAGGTAATAAATACTAGTTACACACACTTGGGAGACGAGAGTTTGGCTCCTAGAGCCCACATAAAAGTATAGGAAAGCTCTAACCGCACAAAATTGTCCTGATGTCTACATGGCTAGTGTGGTTCAAATCTACCTCCTTCCACATACCCATCATACACACACGATAGCAATACATTTTAATGTTTGGAAATATATGACATTTAATTTGGAAAAATCTATGATAAGAGATTTATAAATATCCTTAAAATTTGCTCCTATTGATGTGCTTTCAGAAAAGCTACTAAATTTGGACACTTCTAATGCACACTTTAATGAGAATATACGCCGTTTTATTACACTTGGCAACAGTTATGTGGCAAGATGTTATGAGTAACATTCCTGGTTCTCTTATTTGGTTGCAATTTCAGCTTTAAAAGCTAAAAAGTTTTTACTTTGAAACAACTTTTAGAATTTTGTGCAAATAATTATTTTTAGTTCTTAAATATCTATTTGATTTTCAACATTAAAAATTTTAAAGTCATGATAAAGATGACCAATTTTGTAATAAAAAATCAAATGATGGTTTCCTTAGTTATTTCAGACACAATGTAATGAAAGTACGGAAGACAGTTCCAAATGTATATTGTGCTTGTTGCTCGCACTTACATTGAAATGGAGGGAAAACTGTAATTAAGATGAAAACTTTTTACCAGGGAATGGGTGTGGCTCAGTGTTGCTCATTGACAGACTACATGCCTACTACATGCAAGACCCTTGGTTCCATACCCAGTGCCGCAAAACAACTAACCAAACAACCATGGAGAACTATTAGACTTGGCATTTAGTGGTTAGTGATAATGCCTAAGTGCCAGGTACTTGCTATAGGGGCATTTTACATGGCCCTGTCACTTAACTGCACAGCTTCCTTGTGCACAGCATAAAACCAAGACTCTGAACCCGCTCTACACACACTGAACTCTCAACATCAGGCCTTACTGTCACCCGACAGCCTGTGTCTACTGGGATGTTTTGACACTGGCCCTCCTGGGTCCTGCTAGCATACCCAGTTCTTCTAAAGCCTTTTGACCTCTTTCTTCCTGTAATGTTTCTCTCTAGATCTATGGTTATGCCGTTTCACTCAGGTCGTGGTACTGTTCTATGGACCGATCTCACATTGTCTCATCAAGTGCATTTTATAGCCAGTTGGTGTTTGGTTTTTCTGTACCTCTTCTCCATTGTGTCTATTGGAGAACAGGAAAAAAGTGAACACTTCCCTTCGCTGGCTGCTAGCTGCAGCCCAGGACTGAGTTGTACTCCTTGCCCGGTATTAATTGAATGAAGATGATTGTCATTTCTTAAAATAACCTTTAAGTGCGGTAGAATTTCCATGCACGTGAAAAATGCTTCCTGCAAATATCTGAGCTAAATAGGTGAGTCCCTAGAGTTCTGAGTTCGGCTGATGTGACTGAAGGTCTACTCTAACCATTCTTTGTCAATCACTGTGGATAGTCACATGTTTCTCGATAAGATCATCAACTAACTGTTTCAAAAGTAGTACCGACTAGGTATATTTATTAAGTTGCATGTAGTTCATACAGGAAAGTCTGTTCTGAAAAGTCAGTATAAAATAAATGGAGGAATTACACTCATTTATAATTTATATTTTTAATAACATAAGCAAAGCTTAAGATATGCATGTATACATTATTCAGTATTGTTATTTTCCTCCTCGTTATTTTTGTTTGTTTCTTTCTTTTTTGTAGTTTTTCAAGACAGGGTTTCTCTGTACTGATGGACCTTGTCCTGGAACTCACTCTGTAGACCAGGCTGTCCTCGAAGTCACAGAGATCTGCTTCCCTCTACCTCCCAAGTGCTGGGATTAAAGACATACACCCCCGCTGCCTCCTCATTCTTTAACCTACCTTTAAATTCTCATTCTTTTTTAATTGAAAATAGAATTTTTCATATGATATATCAAGATTACTTCTTCCTCTCCCTTTTCTCCAACATCCCCTTCACGTCACGTATACTAAGCCACAGTGTTTCTCTCTGTCTCTGTCTCTCTCTGTCTCTCTGTCTCTGTCTCTCTCTCTCTCTTTCTCTTTCTCTCTCATTGGAAAAATAAAATAAGATAAAAAAAAACAAACTTGAATATGAAAAAAAACAAACAAACAAATGAACAGGGATAAAAAGAGCCAAAGAAAAAGCACAGGACAATGTGTAGACTGAGACATACACATTTAATCACAGAGAAATCCCATATAAACATAAACTGGAAACCATATTATATACGTAAAGGTTAAAAAAAATAAAGAAAGAAAATGCTTAAATCATTGTGAGCCCCACCCCCCAAAAAACCTTGAAAAATATCATACCATTGAATTCGTTTTGTGTTGGCCATCAATTGTTCTGCATGGGGCCTGCCTCATGCACACACTTAAGAGTGTGGTTTGTATATCCAATGAAACACCAATGGAAAAAGTTAAATTTTCTTTTGCAGTTAATCAATTCTGAGTTAGGGATGTGGGCTCATGTCCACTTTCCCTCTCCACTCTGAGGCCCGGTCTGGCTTAGACTCACGTGGGCCCTGTGTATAAGCCACAATCTCTCTCAACTCATGTGTGCATCAGCCCCGTTGTGTCTAAAATGTCTGGTTTTCTTGCTGTCGTCCATCCCCTCTGGCTCTTACAATCTTTCTGGCTCATCTTCTTCAGAGTTACCTGAACCCTGAGGGAGGGATCTGATGGAGACAACCCTCTGAGCACTCAGTGTTCCACAGTCTCTCACTCACTGCATGCTGTCCATGTGTGGGTCTCTGTGTTCAGTCCCGTCTACTGCAAGAGGAAGCCAGCTGATGACGGCTGAGCAAGACACTGACCCATGACTATAACAGAATCTTGTTAGGAGTCATTTTCTTGCTATGTTCCTTTACCAGAACAATAATATTTGGTTTTCACCTGGACCAATGCCCTCTCCAGTCTCAGGTTCTAAACCACCAGAGCCATGTCGGGCATGGCTTCAATCTCATGGAGTAGGCCATAAGTCCCAATCGTATAGTGCTTAATTAATTCCAAAACTTTTGTACCATTTTGCACCAGCATATCTTGCAGGCGGGTCACTATTGTAAACCAAAAGGTTTGCAGCTGGGTTAGTGTTTCCTTTCCTCTTTTTGTGGAGTGTAGACTACCTTTCAGCACCATGAACACTAACTAGAATGTAGGGGTGAGGGTCTGAGTAGACAGCAGCTTGACTTCTCCATCCCCAGTGAGTTGTGTATGTGTTGGATTCAGCAATAGGACCTTATTAACAGTTTGTGGAGAGTAACCAATGGCCTGAGTTATTTTCAGGTTTCCAAGGGTCCTCTTTGGTCAACAACTTGATTCAGTGTAACCCATTCCTCGCACTGAGGACTTCATTTTGTGGCATACACTCTTATTCTTTGGAAAGCACTTGAAATTTTTTCTTTAAAAAAAAAACAATACTTCCCAGAAATTGATTAACAAGGCTAGACAGATATCTGTGTCTAGTTTTTGGAAAACAAAATGCCAGTAAATAGATAAAGAGACAGTATTTTAGCGTCCTTTCCTACCAGCGTGATGAAAACCTATGAGGAAAGAGGTTAAGGCATATGGAATTTATTTCAGCTCACAGTTCAAGCTCGAGGGCGTTGTGACAGAGAAGCCTAAGGGGGAGGACCCCGAGGCAGCTGGGCATATCAGATTCATCAGCTTTCCCATGTTTCTACAATGATGATGGTACAGAACCCAGCAGCCATTTGCTTCCGTGCCTCCTTAGCTTCTGTCTGAGCACAAAACGGGAGTGAGGTGGCAGTCTGTCTTCAGTCTTGTGGCTAATTGACAGATCTGTGACTTGAGTAGTATGAACGTTCTTGGCAAAGTACTTCACAGAACAAATGTCACACGATTTTATGTTTTAAGTATTCCGAGTTAAGTGTTCATTAAAACACATGGCTTTGAGGTCTGTTTCCACCTGATCTCATATGTAACATGTGTTTGTGTCTTTTCAGACAATCACAAGGACTGCTCTGGTGTGTCTTTGCATCTCACACGTGTGCCGTAAGTGCCTCCAAGTTTTCCAGACAAAATCTTTAAGAACATAGAAGGGTTTTAGTCATCTGATGCCGGCAATTAATTAACCTGAAATTACTGGATCAAAGCAATAAATATTTATTTTCTCGGTGTCAGGGGTCTGCCACATAGGCTCCAGTGAGAGGCTGTTTGGGGCAGTCAGTTCGTGTTAGATTCAGCAATGGAAGAGTCACCTCCAGTCCCTCACATAGTTGACGGGGGCTCTCCCTCAGTTTCCCCCCCTTCTTTATTGGAATGTAAACAGTTCAGATGACAATACATTACAAGGAGGGAGGAAGAGAAAGGAAGAGGGATATTGAGGACAGGGAACAGGATTGAGGAGTGGGGACAGTGAGGAGACACGTTAAGGGACTAACTAGTCCAAAATGTGTAGGGCTAAATGGAAATTCAGGAGAGCGTTGATGTGGATGCATCCCCAAAGTAAGCTAATAATAAAAATAATAATAAAAGGGCTTGTATGAAAGATGAGATTTGAGCCATTTGTCATTTCATAAACTAAGCTTAGCAATAGCATCCCTCTGGCTGTATTTGATAGATGACACCAACTACACTTTTATTGCTGGCACTCGAGGGAGACAGCATTAAACAAGAGCATGTGGACCACAACTTTGGATCATGACAACCCTGTTAAGGTCTCCAAAGAAGTTTGAATTGTGGGGGATGGAAATAGGATGAGCAGAAGAGGAGGAGAGAGGGAGGGACGGAGGAAGGGAGGGAGGGAGGAAGGGAGGGAGGGAGGGAGGAAGGAAGGGAGGGAGAAGCATGAGGACAAAGAGTGGAGACAGTGAGGAGACATGATTTGGGACTGGCAAGCCCAGTTGTGTAGGACCAACTGGAAATTCAGGACAGAGTTGGTCTGGTTACGTTACTAATAATTTGTAAAGAGAATTCCATCATTTTAGGGGAAGTCTGTTCTTTCTTAGGACCTTCCAGGGTGGAAAGAGACCTCAGATTATGGAGAATAATCTGCTTTCTTCTCTGTTTAGTTTTCAGTGTTAGTTAAATCTGCAACAACAACGAAACCTTTTTCAACCATCCTGACCTTGGTGTTTGACTGAAAAAGCAGAACGCTTAGCATAATCAAGTTTTTGTGTAAAGTTAGCCACCTAGGAAACTTTACCATATACCGTCACAGAAGTGAAGCAGTTTTTAAGGGCAAAGGGTATCATATGGTCTATATCTTCTTTCCATCTGCTTCATTTTGACTTACGTGAGAATCACATTTTATAAACCATTTAGTCATATTTGTCCAAGTGGATATTTTGGCTTTATCACAGAATTGAGAGAAATGCCATTTTATCTTTCTTTCTTTCTTTCTTTCTTTCTTTCTTTCTTTCTATATATTTATTTATTTATTTTAGACAGCCTTTGATTGCCGGCATGTATCTTATGATGTCTGTTGACACTGTGATACCCCCAGGAGAGAAAGGTAATGACCGCTTAGCATTTACCATTAACTCATCAACTAATGTATAAGAGCAGATTCACGGTACGTTCTATAAGCTTATAGAATGATCAATATTTATGTATTATCTGAAAAATAAACCAGTTTTTTAGCATCCTTGGATTTTACTCTAAGCCAGTGATTTATTGGTTTTCCAATATTTATTTATAAATATGCCAAGAATGAAGGTCCCTGGGTTGGTTATGTGTTGTATAAAGACTAAATTTTATCTTACAGACAAGCTATTCATTCTTCAGATGTAGAAGTTTAACTGCACAATGTACAGTGATATAAACTATTAAACGGATAGGTTCAAAATCAAGAGTATAAAAAAATCCAGCACAGCTCAGCCTTCGTATTTAAAAACAGTAATCTTTCCATTTGCAAAATGGAAATAACCTAGTCTTTCAAGATAGCATAAAGCTACAAGAATATAGATGGCATCATTGATCCAATGAAAATGTCACATTGAATGTGATATGTTTGTTTGAATGGGAATCTTTTAAAGTTAACGTTTAGTGTGGTTTATCTATTACTGTTTTTAAAATCTATTTAAAAGGCATATTTTATTTAATATTTATTATTCGCTAGGAAAAAGGAAAAGTATATGGAATGAGACCATTGGAAATATGAGCTACCAATTTAGTGATTCTAGGTATTTATATTCATTTTTTAAAAATTCTTTTTGCACTAACATAAAAACAAATTTAATTTTTTTAGAAAAATTAATTTAAAAAAAAGGTAACAGATCAGGCCTCTGTCTTCATACAGAATATTTTTAATTGCTCGTTATCATTCTTTTGTTAAATATAATAAAACCTTGAGGGAAAAATTAGGATCCAAATATATTGTATGAAAAAGATTTGAATAAATAAATACGAGGCACGAGGCTCATAATGCAACTTTATAAGGTGTCTGGCACAGAACAAATTATTATGTCTGCTGGGTAATGAATAAGTGTTAGTTTCACAAGAAAACCAAGTGCAGGCACCTGAGACTACTTCACACATACTTTTAATTATTTTTTATAAAAAAAAAAAAGCCAAAACATGTTTTCTAGCTGCATTATGACTTCTGTCTGTGTTTCTGTTTCCCACAGTGGTGAATGCTGATATTTCGTGCCATTATAACACATATCCAATGCATGTGTTTGCCTACAGGGTCCATACTCATCATTTAGGTAAGAACGCAAGCTGAATGTTAAATCATAAATATTTGCCATGTGCTTGTCAGCGCTGTAAACATAACATTTGAGTTTTCCTAGACCTTAAGTACAGTTTTATCAAATTCCTTGAATTCTTCCATGATTCAGTAAGATGTCAATACTTGGAATTCTGAAACTATTTAGGTTTAAATTTTTGAAAAGAGAGAAAATATGAGGTATGGATTTTGCTATTCTAAATGTTTGTTATATTGCACAATTCTGATTTGTGTTTATTAAGGTAAGGTAGTAAGCGGATACAGAGTCAGAGATGGACAGTGGACGCTGATTGGACGCCAGAGCCCGCAGCTGCCGCAGGTGCGTAACTGCCAGCTTAATGCTTTTCTTGGCACTTCTCTCGGGATGCTGACGATGCTTTCCTTCTGAGAAATATTTCTTATGAACTCCCCGAGAATTTTGTACACTTTGCTTTGATCCTGCTCAACTCTCCAGCTTCCCACCGATCCACCAGACCTCCCTACCCACCCGACTTCAAGTTCTCGCTTTTCTTGCTTCGTGCTTTTTGTTTTTGTTATGCTCTGGAGTTCAGTTTATGTTGCTGGCTGCTCTTCTGAGTGGACCCTACCCAGGAATGCGGTCAACCTAATCAGGTGGCACACCATGAATAAGAACGAGCTCTCCTGCCAGTGGCCCTCAAATGACAGTAGATTGTCGGCTGGTGGTGGGACATCACACCTTCCTCTCCCACCCGCCTTATGGGATTTTTCTCTCCCTCGAGCTTGCACAGGTCTTTTTCATGCTGTGATTTCATATGTGAAACTGCCCTGTTGTGTCCAGAAAGGACTGTTTCCTTGAAGCTGTCCACCACCTCTGGCTGGTAGTCACAATCTTCTGCCTTCTCTTCTGATGTGGTCTGCTGAGATCTAGACATCCTATTTAGGGCTGAGCATTCCAACCTGTCTTCTTCTCTGCTTTTTGACCAGCTGGGGACTCTGTGAATTGCCATTTGTGCCAGGGAAAGCATTGTGATGATAGTTGAGAGATGCCGGGATCTGTGGGTGCAGTGATGTCATTAGGAGTCATCTTGATAGGCTATCAGCAAATCCGTCCCAACATTCAGTCACTTACAGAAATTTCTTTTAGTCTTATTGGGCATTGGGGGCTGTATAAATAGATTTTGTTTATTTTAGAGTCTGGCACTTGTGCTCCAATGTGGAATTAATGAATTAAGGGAGAGCTCATTTTATCTGGCAATGATTTGTGCAAGGATCAGGAGAGCTGTCTGTGTGTCTGTCTTCATCTTCTTTATGCACAATGTTCCAAACCTCATATTCAAGCATGTAATTCTGGCTAATTGTAGTCATTTTAATGAGTTGTTATACTTGTCTTCTGGGCAGGCTTTCTACCCTGTGGAACACCCAGTAGATGTTACTTTTGGTGAAATCCTGGCAGCAAGATGTGTGTTCACTGGTGAAGGAAGGACAGAAGCCACCCACATTGGGTAAGATTCTGCACTGCCTCTATTCCAAGACAGTATATCATAGGTTAAGCCATTGTTGTAGGTAATAGTTATCTCCAAGAATAAATTAGACACACTTTGGTATCTTGGGAAATTACAACAAAGTCGCATTATGTCACTCCCAAGCTGATCGGTTTGGAAAAGTCTTAGAATGTGGCCTTGCTTGTGCCTACAACATTTCTTTCTGCCTCATCATTCCTTTGCATGTTGTAGTTATGAAAGACCGTGTTTCTACTTTGGACTTGTCTTAATAAAAGTAATAAGATAGTGAAAATTTGTTTTCACAAAAACCCATTTGCCATTACTTTAAAGTTGATCAAACACTCAGACCCATGATTCTTTCTGTGTACTGAAGCAGATTTCCAGTCTGTAATTATCAGTTGCTAGTCTACTGAGTATACTATCCATCCCCTTTCTAATAGTGGATGGTAAGACATAACTACTTTTCAAAATTCTGATTCTCCATCAAGTAATTTTAATTTTGTCATAAAATATATTAGCAATTTCTAAAGCATTAAGGTCTCTTCAGTAACATAGATTAGATATTTAAAATGAGGTGCAAAGTGTCTTAGGCTTTCTGCTAGGAAAGAATGTAGATTGCCAGGTGGTTTAATCCCAGCACTTGGGAGGCAGAGGCAGGTGTCTCTCTGTGAGTTCGAGGCCAGCCTGGTCTATAGAACAAGTTCCAGGCTTCAAAGCTACAGAAAAACCTTGTCTCAAAAAAAAAAAAAAAAAAAAAAAAGAATGCATGTGCTTCCTTTTCATGTTGAACTAGGCTCAAAGATACTTACTTAGTCCACTCGGAAGCTTGAGAAGTTACAGAAAGTAAAGTTGATGTAGAAAGAGGGTTTTCAGAGGAGCAGTAACTGCTGACAAGGAACCACACGGAGTAGAAGAAAGCAAGGACCAGGGGAGCATTTAAGGATTTTTCATGTCCCTGTAAGACCAGTTTTCATTTCTTTGAATGGAAAACAGTATCAGTTTGTATTAAAGAAGCAGCTTTCCAGTGCCTTTCATATTGTGTGAGGTTTCTTAAATTCTGGGAGAAGGCTGGAGCAAAGCAGAAAATTATTGAATTTCCATAAAAGAGGGAGGCTTGACAACATGGACACAATTACACTGGAAAGAGGGAGAGGGGCTGCTCCTTCTGTAACAGTCTTTGACACTTGAGGGAAAGCGAGCCACAGCGTATTGATCAGCTGCTCTCCGTTCTGTGCTCTTGTGGGCCCACAAGAATGGTAGTTAAGTGCCAGAGGTTATTCTGTTAACCTTCTCAGTAAGTAAACAAAGCAGTTCAAAATAAACGCTTTCAGGGCATTCCGTGTATTGATTTGCAAGCCTAAGTGTGAGGAAAGTAGAATATTTTAGCCTCAAGGGCCTTAACAGTTTGGGTAGGGGACTTACATCCTTGGCCGGATTCTATCCTTGAAGTTTTTTCTCTCTGAGGTAATTTCCACCATAGAAATTAATGGCTTGTTCGAGTGCCAGCGTGAGAAGCCAGAGTGATCTCTGGAGGCCTCTTTCAGTTTCATGAGTCTAGAATAATTCTAGTCTTTGTAAAATTGTAGTTTGCTTTCAGATAATACCCTAAAATGATGATACTACTCTATCCTTTAGTAACTCTCTTGTGAGATAAAGTAAATGCAATTCTTAATACAAAAGAAATAGAAATGGGATAGGAAATTAAGTTATTTGGTGAGTCTATAGTTTGAATAATAATTTGTACTACAGATACATTTTTTTCTAGAAGAATAACAAACGAATGAAGACAAGTTTGAAAAATCTAATCATGAATAAAATTTTTACTGTAAATCTGCTTGCCTATGGTGGTTAATGTGCCTTTCCAGTTTAGAAAGATAATGTCTTTAGTGTTTCTGTGTTTTGTACATTAACAGGTATAATCTCCATAGGATACTATAGGTAGGTTCACAGTTGAAAATAGTAAACAGTGAATGTGTGTATGTGTGCATGTGTGCATGCGTTCCTTATTAAATTATACTCTGTAAACTTCCCTCCCATCTAACATCTTCATGTATAGGCAGGCAAATCTACTAGATGTAGGTCTAACCCAGAACTTGAAGCAGTTACATATAAATCATAGTTCCTCCAAGCTAGTGAGTGGCTCCATGATGTTTTTCAAGAATTATCATCCTAGACTTTGGACGTTTGCCCTACACCACCTCAAAACCACATTGACTTTGGCCCACTACTAGGAAGATTTTCAGTTGAGTGATATTTCATAGAAGTCAAGTTAAACTCTAGTAAACATAACGTTTTAGGACTAGATAAAAGTTTGCTTAGAGGAAGCAATCATGATCAACAGTCAAAGGTCACATTAAACAGGGAGACTTAGTTTTCATAGTAGAGATTCATTTTAGAACAGTGCCAGTGGAAAACAGATCTAGGCATGGTGATCCATACCGGATATCCCTGCTCAGTGAGTTCAAAACCAACCTTGACTTTGACTGGACTTTACAGGAAGATGGCATCACAAATAAAACAAAACTATGTTGATTTAACAACCTGCCTGCCTGTCATGAATGAATAGAAAAGGGAAACATGGAATATTACACAATAGGACTCTGTTCAGCCTTTAAAAGAATAAAGACTGATTTGTTACAACAATGGATAAATCTGACTTTGTGCCAGGTAAAATAAGCCAAGAACAGAGAGACAGATGCTGAACGATGCTACTTTTAAAAATATCACATTTATTTGAGGTGTGTGTGTGTGTGTGTGTGTGTGTGTTGTACACAAACACCTGTGTCCTACAGTCTATGTGTAGAACTCAGAGGACTGCTGGTGGGAGTCATTTTTTTCCTTCTACCTTCGGTCTCAGGGATCGAACTCTGGTCCTCAAGCCTGTTGGCAGGTGCCTGTATCCACTGGCACATCTTCTTAGGCCAATGATCCTAGTTTTTTATATGTGGAATGGAAAAATGCTGAGGTAGGGTTCGAGTCATGTTTAGCAGAAGCAAGAGACAGTAAGAACAAAGTGGGAATGAGGAGGAATTGTTCATTAGAGTGTATAAACTTTTAAGTGGGCAAGAAAATAGCTTTTCATTTTCTCTTAGACAAAGTGACAATATGCAATAATAAACATTTCAAAAATAAATAAATTTCAAGTATTTGATTATGAAAAAGTGATATTTATGCAAAGTGGTAGATGCACTAAGGTGCCTTAATTATTCTTTGTTATATGAACATGCTAAAACATAATATTGTTCCTAATAAATGTGATTAATTAAGATGTATCCAGCAAAAGAGGTGTTAAAAGTATATTCTAAACAACGTATTTAAATCTAGATAAATTAACAAATATACTCAAGGATAAAGTGTCATACATAAATATACATTTATCTTAAAATATAAAATGATACATAAGACCCCAAAAAACGTTTATACTAATAACATTATGCAAATGAGTTTGTGAAGATTTATGTATTTATGCCTAATGGTGGTGCCTGTTTTACATTCAGTGAGATAAATGTTTAGTCAGGTTTAAACAAATAAAATAGGCTCTATTTAAGTCAGTCAAATGAGCTAATTAAGTCAGCTAATCATCCTAGACGTTTGTAGACTAAAATGTCTACGTCCTGAGGATCATCAGGTCGCATTTACCTGCTGGTCCCATTTTCATTCTGCCCACAGTCACCCTGCATGCCTTTCTCTTGTTGCGTTCCTTCTCCTTCAGTCCCGACTCTCTTCCAAAATGCTCCCCTCCCTACCTCATGTCTTTTTAGCAACCGACATTGTAAAGCACAGCATTTGCAAAGGGGAAGGCACATGGTAAATAATGGCTCCTTATTGTGCGTCTTCAAAAGCGTGTAACTTTTATAAAATATTTGTAATTTCATATTAACTTCCCAAGTTAGTATGACCCATTTTGGCTCTATGTAAACCCATCTTCGGTTGACAATAAGAAACAGGACGAGGGGAGGACACCATTAAGCTGGCAGAGTTTCGCTGCCTACACTACAAGACTACATGGAAGTTTTCTAATGTTTCATTTCAGAATAATTGGCACTTTCTCAAATCTTCATTATGTACCTTTCTATTATAAAATAATTTTATAAAGGCCCCTGTGACACTGAGATAAACGATACATAGATACAGATGAATATTTTTTAGAAATACCACACAAAAAGCAACCTATATACATTGGAACTAAATCGTCATTCAGTAGTATGCTATCAGAGCCTGTGTATTGTAGTAGAACACGGTAAGTTACACACGGTTATTCAGCAAGGTTATTCTTCATCATTCACCATTCATTTCTTGAGGTTCCCACTCTTTCCAGGCTCAATAAGGCACATCAGATAGAAAACTACTGATTTTAAGTGTGCCGGCGTAAAGAAGAAATTATCACCCGGGGAACTGGGTCGTGCCGGAAGTGCAGTGCTGCAGTGTTGGAATGTTGCTGGTACCCACGGCCGTCATTTCAGAGAGGGCATTGTCACTTGGGAATGTTTAAATGGCCAGGAAGCACAGCCTTCCTCCACCACTGGGTTTCCATGTGAACAACGATTCAGATCAGCAGTTGAACTGCATAGGTTGACCTCTGTGGGAAATAATGGTCTGTGTCAAAATCCTCCTCGGGTGTCCAGAAAACAGTCAATCTGGTATGAAGTGAATTTTGATTTTCAGGAATACAGAAAGCAGGCAGAGTGAGATATGGATTTCTGTTTGTTTGGTTTACTTTTGTTGTTTGATGAAAAGAAAAAACATGAAAGATCATGGAATAAAACTAGCCATCTGTGCCTTTGCTGAGATGGTTGATTCCTAACCAGGCTTAGCAGGTAACCACCCCTCCCCCCCCCCCCCCCCCCAAATAAAACTAGCCATCTGTGCCTTTGCTGAGATGGTTGATTCCTAACCAGGCTTAGCAGGTAACCACCCCTCCCCCTCCCCCATCCCCACCCCCACCCCCACCCCACACAGGAGGGCGAGCTCAGTTCCTTAGACTACAAGTCCCGTTAGTA